TAAAAATAAATACCTACTGTTTTAATGTTACTTTTCTGTAAATATCACTGTAATCTATCAAAGAGCAATGAAGAGGTCAACTTTTGTTGAGTTGTGTGTTAGCATCAGAATATAAAATATAAATCTTGTGTATTGTGATTGACACCTGAACTTAAGGATTTTATCGATGATATATTGCAAAAAGTAACAAGAGGCAAAAAAGAAATACAAAAAAATATCTTTTTTTTGTTTTCCGTGCCCTTTAGAACGTAGGCATCGCAACTATTTAATAGCCATTTGAGGCTGATTGTATGTTATATAAGGGAAGTTAAAGATAGGTGAACTGCTTGTTCGATTGCCTTCTTGTAAAAAAATGTCCCAAGTCGATGGAGTACTGTGTTAGTCTAGTTTTGCACTTTCGATAATTTCAGTTATTACGCTCTTATGTAAGTAAAACGAAGTTATTAAGTTACGATTGTTCTGGATATGGTTTCAGAATTTTACATTAGATTTTGTTTAAATTAAATTAATTTAAAAATATTTAAATTGAAATCAAATCGTTTTCCAGCAAAACAAATTGTCTTGATTAAAAACATAACATTTTTATTAAATTAAAAATTTCTTGGAACCGTAAAATTAAAGATATAAAAAGGATTTATTTTTTTCACGGTTCCCATTGTCTCTGGTACTATCTAGTGTTGTGCCATGCTCAAAGTTGTGTTGTTACTTCTTGTGGTGGCTTACACCTGTCAGGCTGAGGTGTACGGTCAAGTTAACTTTTTAGAAATGCCGAAGAATTCAGCACTAGACGGGCCGATGGGCTTCCGACGGGTCGGAACTGGCAACGATGGACCCGAAGACGTGCCACAAACATTACCATTCCTTAAAAGCAACTCCTAAAGAAATTTGGCACAAAAGAATAAACGATAGAAAAAACAAAATAAGTAACAAATCGATTTATTATATATGGTACAAATTAAAAAGTGATAATATTATTTTTTTCGGAATTATTTTATAATGTAAGCAAATTATAACATAGAAATAAATTAACAAGTTACTTAATGGCTTACAATCTTTAATTTTTAGAACCTCGAATTTAATCTTGTAAAACACATTACAAGACCTCTGTAAAGAGAATACAAAGGAGTAAATAATTCTTGGCCTTTAGAAGTTATGTACTAATTTATTTTGTTACTTTTTAGTGTATTATGTTTGATAATATTTGGTTTGAAAGAGAATTATCTTTGTTTATAAATATTCTTGCTTATCTCTCGACTTTACGTAAATATATCAGGGTAATAACCTGTACTAGAAAAGGTATAATAGCTTTTGAAAAACATACACATTGCCTCGGTCAAAGCTTCTTGACCGAAGAAAAATACAGGCAGCTTCAAATGCATGTGAAAACAGCAGTCATGGCGTCCGTGACAGATCTTAAAAAAAATTAAGTAATTATTAGGAGGTTAATCTACAATTATAGAACAAACTAATAGAATTTAAGGCGATTATCTAAAAAAAGATGACAGTATTGAGGTTACATATGTACGGCTTTAAGCTGTTCTACTGCTGAAGATTTAGCAATTTCTATACTATACTATATTTTATACACTCTTTGAACAGTGATGCCGTAACGTACTTCCCCTTCGACTTTTAAGTGACAGGACATGTAAAGCATACGCGTTCCCCTCAATCGACTACTACTAACGATACTTTCTTCTCTACTACACTTGCTTCCTGTGTGTTTGTTTGGTGTTGACAGACAGGGATATCTAACCCGGAGGGCCCAAGTCAAACTAAATTGTGTTAGCTCACTAGCGCCCTCCTGGTAATATCAAAGTGTCACAAGAGTGCTTCACTGCAGCTCCATTTTTTTTCTTGTATGCTATTTTTTTTCATATACATGCTTTAAACTTAAACTAGTCGCGTTAGCAGGTCTCTAATGGAGCTAGATATGCTTGTTTAACTATAATTGAAATTTAGGGTTATAGAGACCACACCCCGTCAAACTTGTAACATTTATTTAGAACAACGGCACTCCATTTCTAGTTAGTTTTATAATAGTTAAAGTGCTTCACAGACTTGTTCACTAACTACTTTAGCTTATACTCTATAATCTATAATCTGTAACTGTCAACCAGGCAGGCCCATCACTAGTACACCAGCTGCAGTAGAAAACTTAGCTTAGTCTATGGTAATATTCAGAAGCCGGCTTCGCATTGGCGTGTTTCTTGGCGTTTTATATTTTTTTATTTTTTTGAGAAAAATATTTCGAAAACGTAAAAAGTTTTTATTTCTATTTACGAACTGAAGGTATAAAAAGTTTCAATAGTTTCCACGCACCACCAATTAACTAACGAAAAGGACCTACCACGTGTACGCCAAGTATCCTTGTATCACTAATTATAATTAATTTGATTACTTTTAATTCATTGTGAAAATTAGAATTATTACAATTGTGTAACTAAAACTTGTTTATTCGTGTAATTATTACACGTGGTTGGAGATAAGTAAAGGAATATGATGAACGCGGAAGGCGACCTACGCGATGGGCTATCCGCCAAGGAGATCTTCGCTAACAGTGAAGGATTAACGTATAATGACTTTCTCTTATTACCTGGATTCATTAACTTCACCGCGGAGGAGGTCGACTTAACTTCCCCATTGACAAAAAAGATAAACCTGAAATCTCCGTTGGTGTCCACCCCAATGGACACCGTCACCGAAGCCGACATGGCAATAGCCATGGCGCTCTGCGGTGGTATAGGCATTATTCATCACAATTGCACTCCGGAATATCAAGCCAACGAGGTACATAAAGTGAAAAAGTATAAACATGGCTTCATTCGCGACCCGGTGTGCATGGGTCCTGAGAATACTGTAGCAGATGTCTTGGAAGCGAAAAAGAAGAATGGGTTCACGGGCTATCCAATCACTGAAAATGGAAAGTTGGGAGGCAGGCTCATAGGAATCGTGACGTCCCGAGACATTGACTTCAGGGAGGGTGATCCGCAGCTCAGTCTAAAGGAGGTGATGACCCCAATCGATGAAATGATAACGGCACAATCTGGAGTTACACTGCAAGATGCCAATTACATCCTTGAGAAAAGCAAGAAAGGTAAGCTTCCTATTATTAATGGCTCAGGAGAACTGGTAGCTCTGATTGCACGAACTGATCTAAAGAAAGCTAGAAGCTATCCAAATGCTTCAAAAGACTCTAACAAACAACTTCTGGTGGGTGCTGCTATTGGTACACGGGAAGCAGACAGGGAGCGTCTGAAGTTGCTTGTTAGTAATGGAGTAGATGTCATAGTCCTTGACTCATCTCAAGGTAATTCCACATATCAGATTGATATGATAAAATATATCAAATCAAATTACCCAAATATACAAGTGATTGGAGGAAATGTTGTCACTAGAATGCAAGCAAAGAATCTCATAGAAGCAGGTGTTGATGCCCTTAGAGTTGGAATGGGAAGTGGATCAATCTGTATAACTCAAGAAGTAATGGCATGTGGCTGCCCGCAGGCCACTGCAGTGTACCAAGTATCCTCTTATGCTCGCCAGTTCAATGTGCCTGTCATAGCAGATGGGGGTATTCAGTCAGTGGGTCACATTGTCAAATCACTTGCATTAGGAGCTTCAACAGTTATGATGGGCTCTCTGCTTGCTGGCACTTCTGAAGCTCCTGGAGAATATTTCTTCTCTGATGGTGTCAGGCTTAAAAAGTACCGTGGAATGGGCAGCTTGGAAGCCATGGAGAACAAAGAAGGTAAAGGATCAGCCATGAGCAGATATTTCCACAAGGAAACTGATAAACACAGAGTGGCACAAGGTGTTAGTGGCAGTATAGTTGACAAGGGGTCTGTGTTAAGATTTTTGCCATACTTGCAAACTGGAATGCAGCACAGTTGCCAAGATCTTGGTGCGCCATCGCTGACAAAACTACGTGAGATGAGTTACTCTGGAGACTTACGTTTTATGAAGAGGACATACTCAGCACAGTTGGAAGGAAATGTGCATGGTTTATTTTCATATGAAAAAAGATTATTTTAATAAGATGAAATAACAAGTCCTTTAATCTCAATGTGATATCCAATTTATCTGTGTGTATATATTATGAGGTATTTAGGGCAATATTTTTGTTATAAGAAAAACAAATATTCTTTGATGTATTCCAATATATGAAATAACAAAGCTTTTATGTGTAATTATGTATTTTTATGTGTTTATACATAATGGACCAGGAATAACTGACTAAAAATAAAACATGAATTATATGATGTTGTCTTACATTTTTATACCTAAAAGCAGCCTCAAAGTACCCTTTAGTTAAAGATTTTAGTAAAATAACACTCAAGAGCTTTTAAAACATTTTAATTGTTGAGACACATAAAATTGGGAAACCAGGCAACCTACATATGAGTGTTCTATTTGAAGATCTACCCAATAGAAACATCAGAATATTCTGAAGAAATACTTTTATAATACATTTACTTTTCTATCAGAAATAGTAAATAAATTCATTGATATAAAATATCTTAAATAACTAAATAATTGTTTGGTTACCTCATTAGAAAATATGACTAATAGGTGTCGCCCGCGAATCCGTTTGCGCGGAACTAAAAAAACTTAGTAGCCTATGTGTTCTAGATTATGTCCTACATCTGTGTCAAATTTCATCAAGATCTGTTGAGCCGTTCCGGAAATACCTTCAAACAAACAAACATCCATCCATCTAAACATTGCTATTTATAATATTACAGAGATATAGGTAGGTACCAAATTTATTTTGATAATTCTTAGTAAACAAGAATATAGCAATTTAGTAGTTCATAGTTAATTTCTTTGAAATGCAAATATTGGATGATGTAAGGATTTTAGTAAATAAAACAAACCTTATATTTTCTAATAATCACAATTTAATGGAATTCATATAATATGCATAAGCTGCAATGCAATGATTATGCACATATCATAATAAATATTATTTAAAGGTGCTAAATAACTTAAATTATTAAAAAAATAAAAACGTGCTACTGTCTATGCTGTAGACTGGTGCGTCCAAAAAATTACGCTTATCGTTTTAAAAACTGCGTCCTAGCTATGCTAATAAAAAAAAAATCTATTACAATTGCACAAATCTCCCTATTGTCAACTACGGATTAATTATTTAATTGAGTAATTTGATAAATGCGTAAATGAGCGATCAGAGAGCATAGCGTAGCATAAGAAATACCTACAATAACATCAGTCCTCTACAACTGGTCGTCCACCATAATACTAACCTCAAACTTCAGTCTCTGCTATTCAGAATCGATTATACTCGAGTGAAATACGTCAGTTGCCGCATACTGCTACAAGTCAATCTTGCCCATACATATCAAGATAGCTTAGCCTGTACTCAACTAAACCTGAGCGCGTCGGTTCAACCTGACAAGTCCGTTACACTACACAGATTAAAAATCTACAAAAATCACGAAAAAAGTTTTAAACCTTCAACTGTGAATTGAATTTGTTACTAATTGAAATATTAATGTGATTAAATAATGAGCGTCATTAACTCCTAAGTCATAACGCACCAGTCGGAATGCACGAGTCAAGCGACCAAAGCGTATAAATCTTATTGAGATTACAGCTTACAATTAATCAGCACGTTTCAGCGTGTTGCTAAATCAATATAATAAAAATTATACAACTTTCAATGCTTGTTGACACGCGTGCTACAATAAAATATCCATTAAACATTTCATGTTTGATACCATCATACATTAAAAAGACATGTATGGTTTTTCAAATTACATAATGGCTTCAGTACATACAATCAACGCGTATATAATATAAGAGCCACATAAGCATAGTAACACGCTGTAAATTGCTGAGATATACATAAGGGTACTGCAATTACTCCTTAGCATCGCCGTCGGCGTCTTCATCCTCGCGCTGGAATTCGGGGCCGTGAGTGACGTCATCCTCGAACACGATCTCCTCGGGATCAGGCGCACGCGGCAGGAACTCCTCGCCAGGGCAGATCTTCTTGAAGATCTGTTCCGCCTGCCAAACAAAA